TTAATATTCTGTCTTGTGAGCCCCTTTCTCACTCTCTTTTGTGTGAGTTCCCTTCTCTGGGACAGCCTTTGAGATGCAGATTTTGGATGACTTCTCATTATACATACTAACTCTCAGAGGTCTCATGACTGTTAGACTACAGAGCACCAATGTCTTTTTCAGTCATTTATCCAGCAAATACTTGCTGTGCATTTATTGCCTTCAAGACCCAGTTTAGACACGTAAAATCTATGCTGCTTCTGAGTCCACTTTCTATTGCGGAGATGGATGCCTATTTTAGGCAGTAATGTGGTGATGGGCTTTACTGGGAAGATGTCTATGGGAAGAGCACAGGAAAATTGCAACAGCAAACAGAAGGATATCAAGGGCAAACCTGTTAGGTGCATGTAAGGAAAGACGAATGTAAGGAAAGACGAGAATGTGTGAGCTGGAGCTGACATCCGGAAGTGTTGTAATTGTCACTGTCTGAGGCATAATGTGGAGGAAGATTGAAGGACTTTCCCAACCACTCTGAGGACTTCAGCTTTGCTTTAGTAAAATGAGGAACAGCACAGGTTTTAATTAGAAGATGAATATAGGATCTGGGTGGTGTTTTAATCAACTTCTTAAGCTTTTGACTTGAGACCGTATGCTGACAGTGTCTGGGGCAGGAAAGCAAGAACAGACATTTTCCTATACCATAGACCAGCATATTTAAGTGCCTGTTAAACATATTCACTCAGACTCGGAACATATACGGCAAGTTCATTGTATCTAAAACTAAAACTGCTTTTTTGTCCCCCAGCATTCTGTTCTGAAGTTGTTCCTTTTTCTATAACTTCTAATTTGTCAAAGACCAGCTGCCCAAGAAAAGCTACTCTTGACTTTCCGTATGCCTTTTATCCTTCAGGCAAGTAGAAGAACAGGCATTTATGTTCTTCATATGTTTTCCACTAATTGTTAGTCCTTGCTATTTGCTATTCAGTACTCAATATTAAAATTCCATTAGTTCATTGAGAGAAGTTCAGAAGGTGCTTTTGGTTTCTTCTGTCATACAAAGATAGTGCTCTGCCCCCTGCTTTGCCTGGGCAGACTCTACTTCTGTTAAACTGACTGATATCAAGACAGTATATAATATTATAGTCCAGTCAGACAGACACGGATTCAATCCCAGTTCTGCAACTGGGACATAGACAGGCCACCTGTGAACTCATTTTCTTTATCTTAAAAGTGATGCTGGGTATGGTGGCAGAGGCAGGTAGATCTCTATGAGATTGAGGCCAGCCAGGTCTACATAATGAATTCCAGGCCAGCTGGGGCTACAGGGAGATCCTGTCTCAAAAAAAAAAAAAAAATCCAAAACAAAACAAAAATGGTCAAAGCATCAGCTTCAGTCAAGGCTACTTTTGATATTAGTATACTTCTAAATCTCTGGTTAGACAGTAATTGCCCGATAAATAATAATACCCCCTCTTGGCCATATATACCAAGAAGACAGAGAAGAGACTTCACTAAGTTTATAGTTTACATGTGTATTCATTCTTTTTCTTAATGATTTATTTTATCTTAAATGGTGTGTGTGTGTGTGTGTGTTCATTTGAGGGCTGGTGCCTGCAGAAGTCAGAGACATTGGATCCCTCTGGAGCACCAGTTACAGGCAGTTATGAGCTGCCTGACATGGGCTCTAGGGACCAACTCTCCAAGAGTATTATTCTTAAGGACTGAGCCATCTCTCCAGCCCCAGTGTTCATTCTTTGTGTGGTAAAATCCTATAGGTTTTGTCAAATGCATGTCACTCTTCCAGCATTACAACAGCATTCTGAGTAGTTATGCTACCTTACAAATCCTCCTTGGGGTCTCCACTTCTCCCCTCAATAACTCTGTAATTCCTGGAACTTTTGACTATCTTTGTGTTCCTGTCCCAGAATGCTGTGCAGCTGGAATCATATGATGTGGAGCCTTTACAGACTGATTCTTTTTGCTTAGCAATTAATGGAGATTTGTAGTGGAGTCATTGTTCAGATTTTCAACATCCACATGCTCTATTATGACTGATCTTGCTAAGAGCTGTGCTTTATGAATGACAGCATTTTATCTTGTAAAAGAAAGACACACCCTTAAGCATCATAAATCCCAATTATGATGTGTTGCCCCCAAATCATAGAATATTTCATCAGTTAATATATTAAATTTTATTGCAGAGACGTATACTAGGACAATGAAAGACTTTTCACTAGAAGACATGTTTCACAAAAATTCTACAAAGAAGTAAGATGGATAAAAAGTCAACGAAATTAAATATAAAACAAAATTTGTTTTTATATTTCTAATAAATAATGGTTATCTTAAATTACAACGGATTGAGCTTGCATTAAATGTTTTTAGAATAGTTGACAAATGGTTAGAGAGTTGGCTCAGCGATTAAGAGCACTTGCATGCCTGCTCACACACACCTGTAACTCCAGGTTCATGATCTGACATCCCCCTATGGCCTGTATCAGGCAGTCACTTGGTACACATAGATACATGCAGAAAAAAAAAATACTTATGTACATAAAATTTTAAAACTCTTACAAAATTGTTGGTAAATTTTATTTTTAAATGTCAATATTTGTAGCCAAGTAGAAATGAAATTCTTTGCAAGTACTCATTTTGTTATAGCTGAAAAATTACAGCTATTAGCTTGGTAAATGTGTGAGGATTGCATAATTTTTCAAAATTCTTTTACTAGTCTGTGAAAATTATTTGAAGACTTGAAGCCTATCATCTTTATAAATTCCAAGGTTGTTAACCTGGCTTCTGTAATCCCTCACATCCTCATTTTTGAGCCCTGGTTTTTTTCCCCTAACTATCTCATATGCTTGTGTCCTGAAAAGAATCTTTGCAATTCTGTGTACCTGCCGTGCTTGTTCTTGCCCATCATGATTATGTTATTCTCTTTTTGCCTTAGGGATCTTCTGTTTTTTTCCTCAAAGATCTTGAAGTCTTACTTGAGAAACACCTGTTGTAGTTCACACTGGCTTGAGTGCTCATCTCTCCCGTTCCCTCACTGTCCTCTTCTCCTTTTCCTTAACTAATCATGTATGGTTTTGCAGTTAACCACTCCTCCAATTTAGATTATAAGACCTTTGGGAGCAAGGGCTTGTCCTCTTCGGTATCTAGCTGTAAGTCTTTCCTAGATATGAATTAACTTACTGAAAATAATAATTACTGAATTAAACAAGAAAGATGAATTTGAGTTGTTGAAAGTTCATTGTTGTACATGACATTTTAAGCCTTTAAATTATGCAGTTTTTGCTTTTACATTAGTTAATTTTATTCAGTAATGTTTGTGTTTGAGGGTAAGGCTTTCAGTAAACTCTCACACAGAGATGAAGCTGAAGATGAGTTTTGGGATCACTGTCCACAGAAACTGCCCAGCCCTTGGTAGTAGGGCAAGGACTCTAGTTTTGGTTCTGCTACTGAGTTGCCTCATGACCTTGGATGAAGTAATAGCCTGGGTAGGGTGGGTCTGTAACATTCAGGGCCAGTTTATTTCACCTTTGATTTAATCAAAAGATAAATTTTTGATAAAGCAAACAAATGATTATCCTTGGCAAAAACATAAAAATATCGCATGATATATTTTCTAATCATTTATATTGTGAATGTTATGTAATAGATATATAGACAGTATAAAGAGATAATAGGCATCATAGTTATGTTATCTACAGTCCACATAGTGGAACAGCTTGCTTTGTCCTTAATCTAAAAGACCAAAATAAAATAATTTAAATTGTCGTGCTTGTAAATCTAGAAGTTAATATAGCATGTTGATTCACATAATTTTTAGATTACGTTTTGGTTTCTTTCACCAAATACATAATTTATCTGCTTAATATTAGACATTCCAATGCATTTCTATCATTCTGGAAGTGAATTTAAGTCAAAAGTTTTCTCTGTGGCCAATTACTCATTCCCTGCAGGCTTTTTAATAAGAAGCAATATTAAAACAATTACAAAACTGCTTTCCTATGTTTTTGGTCATTCATAACGTAGTAATTAAGTTTCATAAAGCTTAATTGAATGGCATTTAGGTCTGACTTTTATATAAAGGTTGGAGATTGAGTTGTTTGGACTGAACAAAGGCAGTATTCCTTTCTTGTTTTTCACCCCTCCCAGCCCCTTCTCTCCACCTGCTTGAGGAAAGTTATATTTCTCCAGACAAGCCTCATAATTGCCCTTCTGTGCCTAATTTGGGGCTCAGGAAAGGCCCGTAGCATCTGTAAAGCTGGCAGCGAAATGGTATTTCCAGGCAGGCACAGGGTGTTGGGTAGTGAGCCAATCCACTGCTTTGTCTGAGCAGCTGAGAACCTTGCTGAGTATTACCACGGTGTTCAGTAACACAGACCTGTGCCATGAGCAAGCCAAGCTCTGAGCAAGTGTGAGGGTCAATATTTATAGACCACGACGTAGCTGCCTTGCAGAGAGACAGAGAGAAACACGTACACAGAGGGCAAGGCAGGAAGGACGACGGTGGAGGGAATGTGAATTACTAATGTTTTTTCTGGAAAAACAAAAACAAAAACAAAACAAAACAAAACCTCTTTCTGTCAGGTTGAAACTTCTGCTGAATCACAACCAATTGGCGCTGAGCTATGACGAGAGAGGAAACAAAAAGTTAAAGGAGCAAGCCAAGCATAGTGAGAAGGTAAGTGATTAGCTAGTTCAGGCTCGCTTTTACTCAGGAAGCTCCGTCGCCTTGTTGGTAGCTGCCTTGCTCCGGTGAGCAGAGGGCTGTGGAGCACTTGGAAGCAGTAAGGAGGGGCAGCCTGCTGCTGCTGAATGCTCCTGGAGGCAGTGCAGGTTTGTGTACGCCTGTTTCGAATGTGTGGACAGTCCTAGTGCCCCGAGTGTGGTCCGTGCTGCCAGACTTGATCTGCTGGTGGGGGACCTCCCATTTAATTTTATATTGGTATTAAAGCGTTATAATCAGTTAAGTTTTGTTGTCTAGAGATGGAATCTAGCAGAAAAAGTCACATCAACTTGTAAAGCTGTACTTACTAGATAGAGTCAGAATGTGGAAACTGGAAGCGTGGGCAACATAGGGTTTGAATAAATAAAAGTTCACTGACCAGCACACTGAAATAAAATAGGTGCTACCTTTGGGGATAGAGAGAACCTGGAGTGACAGGAAGAATAGTCTTCTCAATACAAGATGCCAAAGACAAGAATTTAGGAGAGTCTCTTGTCCTGGGGACTCACTGACTTCTATGAGCCATGCCTCCTTTTCAGCATTAAAATAATATTAACATCTCCAGCTATACATTAAGCTGGTATATTTCTGTTATCACATGTAGTACATTACACGGGGTTCCATGAGCACAATAGTGTGTTCACATGCTTAGCTCAGATTGTCACTGAAAGCAACAGTGCCGAAGGAGACATCACTTTCTACGTACTTCATAGAACACTCCTGGTATGTATATTCTTTTATATTTATGTTTACTACCTCTAGTTCAGAAAGTAAATATATTGCTTCACTAGATTTATGGGATTAACTATATAAAAATTACCTACCAATCTAGGGAGAGTTTACTTGTTTGTTTTTTAGATTTTAGAACTGTAAACATCATCATGATCATCAAAATTTTTAGGCCGTGTTATAGGAGATGGTTATAGTTTCAGTGGATTTTCTAAACTACATATTTAAGTTGAAAACAAAAGTAATATTAATATTGCTATAGAGCTTAAATGATAGGCTGTTAGAGAGGTACGGAATAGTTAATATTGTGTCACTATTTCTGTAGGGTTACTAAGCAGAGGCCAGCTTATTCTAAAACAGAATAATCCAGCTCAAAACAATAGATGGAATAGCTCTGAATGGAAAGTAAGCATCTGAAAATGAGTCCAGCAATTGTGCAGTATCACTTTTACTGATTCCATGCATCTCCTTTTTGGCTTACTGAGACTGTGTTACTATGACTGGCCTGATGCTGCTCAGTTGGAGCTGATTTGACCACATAGTAATCCTTCTGATTGGCTCTCTGGTGGAGATTACAGGTGTCAGGTACTATGCCCAACTGCATGTTTATAATTTTAAAAATGTTTCAAAATCTTCAGTTGAAGGACATGTGGACCGCTTCCTTTTCCTGGCTATTGTGAATGAAGCAGAAATGATCATGGATGAGCAAGTGTCTCTGTAGTAGGATCTGGAATATGCCCAGGAGCTGTATAGCTGGATCATATGATAATTTTATTTCTAGATTAAAAAAAGTTTTATAAATTTATATGTATGAATTTTGTACTTAAATGTATGAAAGTGCACAATGTATGTTCTTCATCTCTGTAGAGGTCAGAGAGGGCGTTGGATCCCTTGGAACCAGTTATAAACTGGTATTAGCCACCATGTGGGTGATAGGAACCGAATCCAGGTCCTCTGAGAGAGCAACCAGTGCTCTTAACCACTAAGCCATCTCTCCTGCCCCTATTTCTAGCTTTTTGAGCAACCTCCACAATGATTTCCATACAAGCTGCACCAGTTCGCACTCCCAACAAGAGTGTGTAAGTGTTCACCTTTCCCCATGTTCACGCTGGCATTTGTGTAATTTTTTTTGTGTGTGTTCACCATCCTGGCTGGGTAGGTGAAATCTCAAAGCAGTTTCAATTTGCATTTCTATGATGGTTAAGGACGATGAACATTAAAAATATACTTCTTGGCCATTTGTATTTCTTCTTTAGAGGAGTCTGTATTTAGTTTCATGTCCCAATTTTTAAATGGCTTGGTATTTAGTTTTTGGGTTCTTTGTATATTCTAGACACTAACCCTCTTTCAGATGTATATCTGGTAAATAATTTTTCCATTCTGTAGGCTGCGTCTTCACTCAGATGATGGTGTCCTTTGCTGTACAGAAACTTTTTAGTTTCCTGTGGTCCCATTTGTCAATTACTCATCTTAGTGCCATAGACTTAAAGTATATTTTAATATTTAATGGTTATTTTGTCTTTATAATCAAGTTTTTCCTTTGTACTTGTTTTAAATTCTGCCTTGTGAATGGATTGTGAATGGATTTGATTTGGATTTTTGACAATGTTTATTGAAATGCATTATTGTTGACCTAGAATGGACAAATTGTAACTGACTGACTAAGACCATCAATAAATTTTTCTTTGCTACTCTCCTTGGGTTATATGTCATGTTCAAGGTCATATTTTCTTCTATTTTGTTTTTATGGTACAAGAATACATGGTGTTAGACACCTTTAATCCCAGCATAATCAGGAGGCAGAGGCAGGCAGATCTCTGTGACTTTGAGGTCAGCCTGGTCTATGTAGCAAGTTCCAGGCCAGCTGGGGCTACAGGGAGACACTGTCTGGAAAAAAAAGACCAAAAAAAAAAAAAACAAAACAAAACCAACAACAACAACAAAAAACAATCATACTGCTTTATCCTCTTTCAGGTTTTCTTTTAAATTCCTTCTAATATATTTATTTTTGAAGTACTAGGTTGAAACCTTGTTGAGAAAATAGGCAAGTAAGTCACTAAATTAGAAAAAGTTTTCTATTCAATTTGGGAAAAAAGAATAGAAACTATTATATAGTGGCTGATGATATCTAAAATCGGTTATACTTTGGTTGAAGACTAGTTGAATATTTTAAGACTTGACATACCTTCTCAATATTGTTTTTGGCTTTATTTTCATTAGTTGTTTATCATGTTTCTAAATGCCATTTAATAGAAATGTATCACAAAGCTGAATGTGGAGCCTTTGCAGTATGTGTTCAGCATATATTGATGCAATAGTGCATTAGACTTGAAAAGTTCGTTATTAGCTTCCTAGTGGACCTCTCTGTCCCCTAGTCTTTTTTTGTGGTATCCATCAATTTACTACACCATTAGGGGAATCAGTCCACTTTGATGAATGTATCATCTTTCTGCAAATATCCCTCCATCCCTGGCTTTTAACTGTCCTAAGTAAAGGCCAAGTTTCTTGGTACTGTGAATCTCTTCCTGATCTAGCTGACACATTTGTTCCATATTCATCATCCGTTCTTTGTTTTAGAATATTGCTTACATCTTTCTTGTCCGGCCATGAAAATATTCCTCTTTTCCTGATTCGTAGTCCAACTATATGACTTGAGCGTCTCAAAACTTCCCATATTGTGGTGCTTGCCTCTGGAATTGCTTGGGTTCCCACTCCATCAAAAATCCTTTTCCCCAGGGTTTTAATCCCATTGGAGTCATCCCTTCTTGTTGGGTCCACTTGCCTCTCATTTCAACTTTTTCTCAGCACTAGCAGAGCTTCAGATTCCAATGTTCTGTTTCTTCTGCTGTGAAACCGTAAACTAGTTATGTCCAGACAGAAAATTTATTCTTTTATACTCTTCTAATATCTATAAGTAAGTATTCCACAACTTGAATGAAGCATATTCATTTCTCATATACATTTTTGGTTTTGAGCCAGGGTCTCTCTGTAGCTCCAAGTGGCCTGGAACTCAGTTTATAGATAAGACTGACCATGAAATCTTACAGATCTGCCTGCCTTTTCCTCCTGAGTTCTGGGATTAAAGATGTGCTCTACCATGCCCAACCCTCACACATATAATTTTTATAATTCTATTATTTTAATATTTTTCAAAAACTTTGATTAGTTTGATTGAAGGAATTTCCTCTCAAGAAGATAGTAAATGCTTTAAAGATGATAACAGTGCCTTAAAAATCTTTTGTCCCAGATATTGTTTGCTCAATTAATTTGGTAAATTTGTCAACATAATCACTTAGCTGCTGCCGCCATGTGGAATGCTGTGATAAATAAAGTGCTCCCTCAGTGAAATGAATGTCATCCTACATTCCAAAAAAGCCCAGAGAAGTTGAGAAGAGAATATGTCTGTCCTCATGAATCCGAGAGAACTGCGGAGTGGAGTTCTTCCCAGTTGTGCTGTTAAACTATTCCTTCTGTTTTGTTCACTGCTGCAGAGATAGTTGGGGATTTAAGGAAATGACATAAAAGCATGGCTAAAGAATTCTCAAGCAAGAAAGGTGATACTCCATTTAAGTCAGAAGACGAATTTACTCCTCAAAATAGAAATGTTGAAAGAAAAGGAAGTCAGTGTTTAAAAAAGTAGTTGAGAAATAACAGCTGTTTCTTTCAGCTCTATACTCAATAGAAATAAATTCATTTTGTTTTTGGGTTTTATTTACCCAGAGTGCATAAAGGACTTAGTATCTGAACTGCCTGTATACCATTGACGAATGCAAAGCTTTACATACCAATCAGAGCAACTGAGTTTTCCTTGTTTTGACTGATTTTACTTCTTAGTGTGGTCTGCCACTGCTGTCGCTGCTGTTTAAACCTTACAAGCCTCTTCCAGACACTGAATATGACTCTTGTTTGCTTAACCTTGGATTGTATCTGTCTGAGGAATGAAAACAAGATTGGTATTTTCAGAGGGAAATTCAGTGACTTTTTAATCAGTTGAAATGGACCATAGTTCAATTAAATTTATTTTCAGATGCATTTTGCTCACATAACCGTCCTGTTGTAAGCTTGATTTGGAGAATGTGCCATTTCTGAAAGTTTATTGTTATAAATTTTATAGATATTTTTGGCACATCAAATAATATGAGAAGGGGAGGACGCCGTTTGCTTTGAACATTGATGTGTAAATGGACCTACTCCTAGTATCCAAGGAGGACAGAAACCGAAACTTTTCTCAATAGTAAAGGATTATAGTAAAGCCAAACAGGCAAAACTCCACCACTGCCATTGAGAGAAGGTCAGAGATCTTTGTGGTTGGAATGAGGCATAAGGGATTTTATCAAATAAGTTGTCTTTATTAATTTTAGCAACTTGCATTTCCAGTCATGTTTTTCTATAACTATATGTGGCATAGAATTCATTAAACATAAACTTCTTTTATGTTAAAGATGGCACATTTCTGAGAAATAGATAACAAAACCTGCCAAACAACAAGCTTGAAAGTATGTATTTAATAATTAGATTAAAAAGAAAGAAACACCTAATTTTAGGGCAGCATTTCATTTTTGTGGCTTTTCTCATCTGGTTGCACTTGCTCTATATTGATTCCATGTATTCTATTTAAAGCTTAATTTGTTCAGTTCTGTGGTTTGCATTGTATTAGGTTCCTTTGCATAATTTGCTTAGTTCCTGAAAGTTAAATCTAGCAGCTACTGCTCTCAGGTGAGCTGAAGTACTTTTCCACTCATAACCGTATTTAAAATATTTTCTTCTAATGCACACCCTGCTAGCTCGCCTAGTAGTCCTGTTTTGCTTATAGTACAAACACATTTCTGCCCTATAAATATTCTCTATGTAACAGGGATATGTGGTAGATAAGCCTAAAGAAGATAAAAGAGAGAACCAAAATGAAACCCTCAGAAGCTACACCAGCTTCAGCTGAGTCTGGTATAGGGTCCCTTCCGCTCCCTTCCTTGGAGTGTGGAGCAGTGCTGGTGTTA